AACATGAAGTGTTGGGGAGCCTCCCAGGGTACATGACATTGCAAATGTGAAAAATCTAATAAGAAAAAATCTTTTATTCACAAAGATTTGGGGTGTAATCCAAAGTAAGGACAGATCATGTCATATACTTGCTTTTAAGTTATTTAAATTTCTATGAAAAATATTTCCCAAACAGGAGCTAAATAAAATATAATGCACCTGTGGGTCATGAAGGAGGACAAACATAGCTGGTCTTAGCGGATTAGGTCGGGTAAGGGAGCTGATTCAGCTCAGCCAGGGCTTAGTAGTGACATTGGGCTGGAGGAGAGAAGCAACCTGGGCCACTGAGACCGATGGTGGGCTTTTCCAGAAGGTTCTGGGGGACTAAGGATAGTGAAGAGAAAAGCAAAAGGGATTAAATGTGAGTAAAACTTTTAAAATGTACATTCATTTTTTATTACAAAATCATCTATACTGCAATAGCAAAATGTGGAAAATGATGCAAAAAACAATTCTATCAAATGGTATTAGTCTTCTAAAAATTTTGTTTAAGTTGGCATAGTTTTGTTCTAACATAGCTAGAAGTATTACATGCAAATTTATGCTTTAATTTTCTTTTAACATACACTAAATATTTTTCAATCTTATTACAATGTTTTCATTGTTGTTTTTAGTGATACCTAATAGTTAATCTACTAACATTAAATAGTTAACATTAATTAGCTTTTCTTAAACTGAAAAGTTTAGGAAGAAAATGGCCCTTGAGCTCAGCACCCAGATAGCTTCTAGTAACTTTTTCTGAGGAAGACAAACCATATATAACGGGATGACATGAGAAGTAAAAGCCCCATTATCCCGTGTCTTTTTCTACAAGTTACCATTACCCATATTTCCTTATGTATACAGGAAAAGACAGGTCACACAGGCAGAGTGTCGCAAGCATTGTCCGCGAGCTGCTGTCAGAACCCTGTCTCCCTCACTCTCTGTCTCCACAGTTGACTTGGACTGCAGAGTGGTTGGGGTAGACTTTGGGTTTTTGGAAATTGAAACATTTTTTTGTTTCCTTCAAGTTCAGCTGTTTATATGAACATGTGTGTTCTTTCCTTCCACATAGCACTACTTCTCCTTTGGCAGGTATCCTCCTTGGTGTTGGCTGTGACATCATGGTGTCAGGCCTTTGCTGATTTCTAGAAGGCTGGTTCTGTGTCCATTAGCACAGCGGGACTAGACCAGGACCCTGTAGCCATATGCATTTGGCCATGAGCGTGGGACACTCAGGACTGGTTATCACCCATCTGTGCAAGTCTGTCTGCCAGAAACTTCTTCAGGTGATTTGGTTTTAGAGAATGCACCCTTGACACGAAGGACAGAGAAAATTACTTACCTGCCTGTCACCAGCCTTCTCTTTCTCACCAGTCTGCAAGTGTGGACTGAATAGGGTCTTACAGGAATTGAGTTTTTGTTTCTAGTAGAAGTTAGAAATATCCTTTTCTTAAAAATTAACAAACCAGGTTTGACGCTGTCAATTAAGGCTCACATGTGGACATTGATTGTGGAAGGAGACATTGTCAAAAGACCATCATTTCTGCTCTTTACCTATGAGAGAGAATCATCTGGGTTTGTTCTTGGCAGTAAATTCATTTCTGTAGTCTAAAGCAATATAACTGGCTCATTGTCCTGCACACATTCTTCTATAATATGTGCAAAGAACCTCTGCTTCAAAGAAGGATTTAAACTTAAGATGTCGGGAGTTACTCACCAAATGTAGAGTTCTAGCCTTTGCCTCAGTTCCCTCAGACACAAGGAACATAATTTTCTGAGGCATCTCAGAAAGTATTTTTCTGTTTATTTGTATCTTTGGAAGTGTTGCTTTTAATCCCTTATTTTAAAAATTAGCTTGGTGTTTAAAATTAAGATCAGAAATTATGTTTGTTGACTAAAACTAACCATTTCATTCAGTATATGACGACATTAGCTCTTACTTTACTTCCTGTTGGTTTTGGAAGGGTTGGATAAAGTAGCTTCTTCATAGATGGAGAGCTATTTTCTACCGTGTGGATTGGGGGTTGCTAGAATCAGGCCTTTGAACTGGTTCAGTCATGGCCAATGAAGCAAAACCAGAATGGACCCAAATTTTTAAAGTTTAGATGATCTGTAACACTAACCAGAATGGAAAATGAGTCACAACCCTAGAATGGGAGACTCAGAAGAGACGTAGTAGTGAGTCCTTTCAGGAATCTGATGCATGGCATTAGATTATTGCCGGGACAATGGAGAGCAACACGTCCAAAAGGAGTGGTCAGCAGCCATCTTTGAGCTGGACACTGTTATTTTCAACTCAGCCAGTCAAGAGATTTGGTTGCTAGGCAGTGTATGTGCTGCCCTTGTTTTCTGAGAGGGAGATTAAATTTTTCTAGCAGTGCTCTGGCCTGTAATTTTTCCTGTTGTGATTCACCAACATTTAAAAAATTCAAGTTCATTCCATTGTCACATCATTGGTCATTTCTGAACCAGTCTGAACCTAGTTTGGAGCCTGGGCTAGAATAAAACTAACCCAAGTCTACAAATTTGTAGCAGCACAGCTCTTCATTTAAAAATATTACTAAATATTTTACTGGCAGTTTTATTATTTCATCTTTAGTATTCATAAACTTAAGTCTTTAGAATTTATACATGAAAACCAGAGAAAGAATTTCTTATTCCTTAAGAATGAAATGTCTGGAAAGTGTTGGTGTTCTACCTTAGGAAGTATCCCTGTGACCAAAACACCCACTTAAGAAATAACTATTTTAATCAGAAATGTTCCTAAGTATGTGTCAGCAAATAACCTGCCCTTGCAAAGAGTAAGAGCCTTGGACATTGTCTTTTTCTGCTTTAAGATGCTTGAGTGGCAGTCAGCTTTCTGCCTTCAGTACCCAAGTGAAGGCCTGCCTTGGCAGTTTTGTGAGCTCCCATTTTGGGTCAGTGCTCTGACTCTGAGGTGACTTTTGCCTCTCTGGGGAGTGTGACAGTCCACCAGTACTGCTGCTTCATGTGTCCAGCACATCCCATGTCGTCATCCTCTGCTCCTTCCCCCATTTACTGCCATGCACAGCTGTGAATAACATAGGGGCACAGGTAAGGGTGAGGGCAAGAACTATTATGGGGTAATTTCTCCCCACCCTCCCACCAGGAGCACACGTGCACATACACGCACACACACTTTAAAAATGCTTTTTAATGGAAGAGATATTTTTATTGCCATCAATACATATGCAGATAAAGTATTTATAATGTGAGGACTCCTGATAGCACAGTGGTTAAAGACTTGGCTGCTAACCTTTAGGGTAGCAGTTGGAACCCATCAGCTGCTATGCGGGAGAAAGATCTGTCAGTCTGCTTCCATAAAGATCTACAGCCTTGGAAACTCTCTGACACAGTTTTACTCTGTCCTACAAGATCACTATGAGTCAGAATCAACTTGATGGCAGTGGGTTGGTTTGTTTGTTTATAATATAGATCATATAGTAATGATTTTGAATGGTTTTGTGCAGAATAGGAACATATATACTAGGAAATCTTAAAAACTATGCTTGAACTGCATAGCTAATTTTCCCAAGATACGTTTCAATCCCAAGAAAATAAACAATTCCTGTTAGGTATCTGATGTATATTGTATCGGTATTATTTTAACGCAAAATTTGCGGCCATGTTTTTTCCCCTCTGTCTTTGCATACAGAAGTGCCTAAGCCCTTGCATAAGCCATGTTTGCATGTGGGAGCTAATTGTATTCTTAAGGGATTAAAATGCTGGTAATTATTTCTTTAGCTCTGTGGTCATTGCACATATTTCTGATTGACTTAACACCAAGTTCTTGGTCAGAAATGCAGCCCTAGTTTTGACATACCTCTGGGAAAATCAGTCTGGTTTAACAGGATGCTTTCATTTGACTCTGATTTCAGGAATACTGTCTGATGTGAATGTGTGGCAGACGGATAGGTAGGCAGACAGGCAATATGTACTGATCCTAATTTAACCTGCACCTGCAAGAATTGAGGTGTTGCTGCTAAGTACACTGGGGCCCTGAGCTGTTTTTGTGGGGGCTTGGTTTGTCCCTGAACTGAAGGATTATTGGGTACCACACCGTGTCCTTTTAGACTTGCCATGTGAACATTCTTTAGGCTGGTCATTGGTGCAGAATCATGGGGGTACTGTGTTGCCAGTTTGCCACTGTATGGGGTTTTGTATGACAAAAAAAAAATAAAACTCACTGCCATCGAGTTGGATCCGACTCATAGCGACCCCTCCTTGGGTTTCTGAGGCAGTATCACTATGGAAGTAGATTGCCCAACCTTCCTTCCAAGGAGTGGCTGGTGGGTTTGAAACACCAGCCTTCTGGTTAGCAGTCAAATGCCTTAGGCGCTACACCACCAGAGCTCCCCACACAGCTATGTGACAACTGTTAACCAATGTTTTACTTACATTCTTGTGTTTATAATTGAGATCCATATCGTTTCAGGAAAAACCTTCTTAACAGATTTTTTTTTCTCCTTTTTATTTACTTTTATTGTGGTGAAAACATCATACCAAGACATTCACCAGCATGACAACTTCCATGTTTACAGCTCAGGGACATTGATGACATTTTTCATATTGTGCCACCATTATTGCTATCCTTTTCCAAAATACTCCACCACCGTTAGCATAAACTCAATGTCCTGCAAACAAAATCTTCCCCTTTCCCCCGTCCCTCCTACCCCTTGTAGCTGCTACTAATCTTTTTTCTTAATAGATTTTTCTTTTTCATGCCACCACCGTATTTTTAGTAGTAAATTTGACATTGTCATATTATCCAGCTTGGTAAATATTTGCAATTATATTTTATTAACCCAGCCCTAGGGAGACATTTTATAGTTTGATTAATGTTCAAGAAAGGCGCTTTGGTTTATAATAAACTAAAGCTCTGAAATTTCAGTTTGTTTTTATCACCTGCCTCATTGAAATTACTCAACAGTTTCTGTGGGCTTGCATTTCTTTTTCAGAACCCAGATTCTTTGTGGAGACATTGAAGAGAGCACTAAGATCAGAAGATGAGTGAACTTGACCAGCTACGGCAGGAGGCCGAACAACTTAAAAACCAAATTAGAGTAGGTATCGACATATGTGTTGTGTTTTATGCATCATATGGGCTTCAGGTCTGGTATCATCTGTTTTAGGAAATCCAGGCTACAGAATGACTATGAATCGAAGTTGACCCAGGGGTTCTCATTACTTGATTTAGGGCATGGTTTTCAGGATTGTATTTTCTTGTATATTATGCTTTGTTATTTATATATACATGAAGTGTTTCCATAGAATTCATGAACACTTGTACTTTTAATTTTTAATCTTGAGAATTAGTTTTATGGCATCGTTTTGGTCACTACACTCAAGATGTGATAACCCTCCCAATGAATATTGTGAATATTAAGGTGTGGGAAGGAAACATGTTAAAAAAATAAGAGCATTAACAATAACAATGAAAAAATATTTTAGATAGACTTAATTAATTCCTAATTTTGAAAGGCAGTGTTCCCCAGGGGTGATTCTTGGAAACTACAAACTTTGATGAATCTAATTTAGATAAAAGCAACTATAATGATGAGACTGCAGTATACAAAGAATAGCATTCACAGAATTCTCAAAAGTTAAATTCCACCCTATGCCTGCTGGTGTACAGTGTTGTAGAGCCTATGAACTTTTAAAAGAGGGTATGTAGTTCTGAAAGAAGTTAATCCTACTCTTCTCTAGTTTCTTGAAACAATGCTTTTAGTGAATATTTTGTAGAAAAGATTGAATACAAGTAGATGTGCCTATTGTCAGATTATTGATATGAAGAATAAGAGAAAAAAGGTGGACTTACCAGGAAGAATCATATACTCAGTATAGTCAGAGGTTTCTATTTGATAAAGTGGCTTACTCCCTGGTTTCTTGTTTTCATCTCTAGAGCCTTAGCTGTCCTTCAAAACATCATGTTATGAGAAGTTGAGAGTGACCAGTACATGCCCAAATAACAGTTCATTTCTCTAACTCGACTGTAAAGATGAAACCTAATGATTAAATGGCCAAGTACGTGTTCAGAAAGCCTGGTGGAAATTAGAGAAAGAAACACCATGTTCATTTTAGCCAACTTTTTCGTGAACTTGAGAAAAGATAATGAAATTATCTGAGATCTTACAGTAAAAGAGGAAACAGAATATTATTTTATTTTAAGAAATTCATATTTTAATGTTTCAAGGTCAGATACAGCTCGGTAAAAATAAGGAAGCCTTTTAAGATTTTTTTTTTTTTTTAAGATTTACTCTGATCTCCAAAAATGCTATTTATATGAAACCAACAAATTCCCTTAAGGTTTTGCCTGACTTAAATCTTAAGCTTATAGACGGTCCATTTTGAGGCTGTAGTGATTTGGTAAATAAATAAATAAAGCAGAAACTGATCTGTTATTACTTGGTAATAGTTAAATTGCATTACTTTTTTCTGTATTTAAAATACTCTCAGCTGTTTATCATCCACTTTTGAGATTTTAGTCCTTCCTCTTGTTCCCAAAAAAGTCTGACAACTAAGATTATAGAAATCAGAATTCAGAGGGGCTAGGAAGCTGCATTAAACATTATTTGAAGCTACTAATTTAAATTTTTGTTTACCCTGCAATATTGTCAGTGGCACTGTGGTTAAGGCATTGGGCTGCTAACCAAAAAGGGTGACGGTTCAAACCTGCCAATACCATGCGGGAGAAAGACGAGGCAGTCTGCTTCTGTAAAGATACACGACCTTGGAAACCCTATCGGGGTGGCTATGAGTTGTAATCAACTCGATGGCAGTGGGGTAGGTAGTATGATATGGCCTGTGGGCTTTTTTTTTTTTTTTTTTAAGATAAGCATAAGTATTTCTTTAATGCTAGATTAGTGTTAAACTACATTTTTCCCTCCATCTGGTAGCCAGTGTATCTCTGTCTCTAACCAATATCATTACTATATTAATGTATTAACTGTGAGCAAAAATAAATTTTAAACATTGACAGAATTTGGCAGCAAACCGTGAAGGTGCTGGCAGCATAGGTATGAAAGGTTCTTAGTGCTTCTGTGAGGGTCATTATCCTGGTTGAGAATCAGTGTGTTTGAGAAGGTGGCATAGTGTTAGAGGCTCCAGTTCACTGGTGTTTATAGATGCTGTTATCTTCCAGAAGGAGCCATAGTTGATTTGGCCTATTTTAAGAAATCACTGTTTTTCTGACAACTGTAAACTATTGTTCATAAATAGCAGATTCAGATCTGTTTATAACAGATAAAGAAAAGTTTGCGTGGCACATATGAAAGACATATCCAGAATGTTTTTTATGCTTACTGACACACCTGTTTGCACAGGCTGCATCTGAGGTGCTCAGTGGCCCACTGTGGCTCGCAGCTGCCGTTGGGGACAGTGCAGCTCTCAACCATTCTCTAAGAAACCAGCTGAGTGCCACGCAGCAGTGATGAGAGTTCTCCGCAGATATTGTCACAGTCTTTGTCTCTCTGTGAGCTGTGAGGTGCTGTGCAGGTCACCCTGCAAGTTTCTTTGCACAATATAGGGACAGTTAAGGCTGTTTGAGTCCATTATACCAAATGGAGACAGCAGGTAACTTTCAAAAGAAGGGGAAAAAGACACTTTTTTTTTTTCTAGTTATCAAAGGAATACATGCCTGTTAAAGAAAGCAAAGGATAAGGAAACCAACAAGAAATGGTAGGTGATTCTAAGAGAAGTTGTTTCTTTCTTAGAATTGCTTTAAAGCTGAAAGCCCCTAAAGGACCATCTCCTCCTACTTTTGTTTCTATTTGTGAGGAAACAAAGATGCTCAAAGGAACTGACTGAAAAGTGCAAACCTCAAAAGGAGCGGGAGTAACTCACTGATGGATTAAGGAGAATGTAATCCAACAAAATGTATCAGTGTAGACTTTTACTAGTTTTTTAAACAAAGTGACATGTCCCCCATATGTGAATGAAGGTGCCTCACCAGTGTGGCAGGCCAGCTGCATTGGAGGTTTGGTCCAAATGTTGTCTGTAGTCAGAAGTGACTGAGAGCTGAGCAGGAGTCCTCTGTGCATTGTTCTGGTATGACATGCATCCCAGTAGGGTAAGAGATTGACCACAGTCTGATTGAGGGTTTGTGTATAGTGTATATTAAGCAGTTAATAGAGCTTATTCACTTAAAAGACTTTTCCTGCAGTCATACAAATTCAAGGTAACCATTTTGAGAAATGCTTTACCAGTTTACATAAGCATCTGTTTGACTAAAAAGACCTAATTGAAGTTATCTGTGTGTGGTGGTGGTGTTATTACATACCATGGAGTCGACCCGACTCATAGCGACCCCTCCGTGGGTTTCTGAGGCCGTATCACTATGGAAATAGATTGCCCAACCTTCCTTCTGAGGAGTGGCTGGTGGGGGTTTTAACTGCCAGCCTGTCTGTGTGTAGTGTTTAAAAATGTTTAACCATCATATCACCACTGTCTGTTAAATGGTACCTTTTGATACCTTTTCTAATCTTTGGATGCTAACCAAGGTAAAATTGCTTAAGAGTCATGGTTTATTTTCTCCTTTACAAAATTATTCTTTTTTAAACTTACAAGTCACATATAACATCAACAAGAATGGCATTCAGGAAAAAAAAAAATTAACTGCAATACTTGATAGATAAAAATTACTGACAAAAGAAGTTATGATTAAGAATTTTCTGTTTTTGTTCCTCCTTACCCAAAATGTAGTTGCAGGCATGGAAATGTTTGATTAAATAATTTGTGTTGGAGCTATAAGCAGAATGACTTCTAATAGCATAATTAAAGTTGAATTTGGGGTCTAAATCTTTGTTTTATTTATGATGATAGTCTCTATGAATGTATTTATATGTTACCTGTTAATAAATATTCCCACTGACTTCATAAAATAAAAACCATTTGCAGTGAGGCTGTTAGCCCCTGGAGACTATCTCCCAGGACGATCTCCCCTACTTGACATTCTAACTTAGGGCGCCTGATATGTATGGGTGCCATTGACATTTTGGAAGTGAGTGGTCAGATGCTTGTGTAGTAGAAATACTATTCTTTTCTTATTAGAAATTGTCATAATTTTAAAATTATTTCCTTTGAAATTTTATGAAGTTGGCAGCTGTCTACACTAAAATATCGAACCTTTTACAGCTGTTGTCACATTATTCATATCTAGCTTTCGATTTTGAAGTATATATGCTAATTTGAGGTTTCAAAATTTATTTTCTACTGACTTCATTTATATAGTAGCAATGAAAAATTGTAATAGCATTAGTGATATCTCTTTATAGTTCATACTATGTATTCCACAAAATTTTATCTGAATTTGATTATCTGACTACAAATCCCTTGCTCTTTTCCATAGAATTTAGAATTAAAGATTGTGTGCTTGAAAATAAAATCCTTACTTAATACCGTCTAGGTGGTAAGCTCTTTGGGCTGGACATTGGTCTTTCTTGGCCTTTTTTCTTGGGCCTCATCCCTTCTGACTTCACATGGGCCGTCACAAAGAATAGGTGGGAGGCGCAGGCAGAGGCTGTGCAAGGAGGAGAAGCTGCAGCACCAGGTCTCAGTCGCTGCCCCGGGCTTCCGCCGCAAGGCGACCTGCAGGTCTGAGACGTGGGATCAGTTCTCTGTTCGGAGTGGTCTAGAGCAGCATAGACTTAATAAACATTGCCTCGCTATTCAACTACAGCAGACTGTGGGTACTACAGGGGAGAAGACACCATCCTTCTGCAGTCTCTTTTTCCCGCTATAGAGGTTTCGTCTAAAACCTTGCGTGAGGGCCTACTGTTGAATGTGTCTGAAGCATTACTGATTTCCTTTTTGTGGTTTGTACTTCCTAGGATGCAAGAAAAGCTTGTGCAGATGCAACTCTCTCTCAGGTAAGAGCCACTTAATCATCCAGAGCTGTCTGTTGATGTTAGAATCAGTACCCGATGTGCTCACACCAGGAACCTCTCAGTGAACTCTTCTTCAACTGTACTTCTGCACAGACGCTGCTTGAAGGTCTCCATTCTGATGCTAGGCATAAGCTTCTTTAGATGAAAAATAAGCCTCTGTCAAGCCTTAAATCATTACTTTCTGTAATGGAGGTATAGTTGTAAAATATTGTTACTGTCTTAAGATATTTAGAATGTCTGACTTTGACAAAACCTGCCTCAGAACTTAAATTTCTGAAGCCAAAGAATTGAATAGCAATGTGAAAGAAAAATTATATTCACACTTCTAATGAAGATGGTTAATTTTTAATGTTCCCTTAATGCTTTAAGGGATGCTTTTTATTTGGTGCTAAACAGAAAGCTAAAGAAAAAAATCATACTACACAGAATTATCTGAATTCTCAGGTATACTTTGGACTGTACATTTTTAAAAACCCACTGTTGTGATATTCTTACTCCGTTTGTGAACCAAAATCATTCACGTCAGATGTTTTGATATGTTGGAGTGAATCTGCAAGTATTTGCATCCATTTTGATGCCGTGAATGATAGCAGTATAGGTGCAGGTGCAGGTGCTAACTGTTGTCTGGGTCACAGCCATGGGCAACATGTCAGCACACAGTGATTTTTACTAGGTGGTGTGACGTGGGCTGTAATTTGGAAGAGCGGTCCTGTAAGGATGGGAAGGAGCTGGGTCTGGGTACATAGAGAAGAGGGGAAGGTCAGGAGCAGCACTGTGAGTGTGTGTACAGTAGTGGGATGGGGTGTGGGAAGAGACAGGCTGTCCTGAAGGCTGTGGGTGCAATGAGACCAGAGCACAACCAGAATAAGAGTTATGAAAGGGGTCAGGTTCAGAGTATCAGGGTAATAGCCATTTGAGATGGGCAGCAGTAAGGGTAGGTCACATGGAGAGCTGAGGTCCTCAAGGTGTCCCAGGACTAGTCCTGGGGGAGGGATAAGTTGGAGGGGACCTTGGGTGAGGGGTGTGGCCTGAGCGGGATAGGGAAGAAGGCAGGAGCTCTGGGATGTGGATTCACTTCATGACAGACTGAGTGTGTAAGACCTTCTTTTTTAAGATCACAAACAACATCGACCCTGTCGGAAGAATCCAGATGCGTACCAGGAGAACGCTGAGGGGGCACCTGGCCAAGATCTATGCCATGCATTGGGGCACAGACTCCAGGTACCTGGGAGCCGAGCGGGGCATGGTGCTTGTGCATTCAGGGGTGGCTTGTTCTTCTAGGAAAAAATAACCTCACTGGATTTGTTGTCATCATAAAAGAAAGATTAGGAAGTTGAGTCAGGTAATTAAATAAAAGATTGTGAGACTGTTACATGCTCTTCTCAAACATCTAACATACTGTTCTTAACATGCCTTTCCTTGAGTAGTATTTTTTTCATGTTTATCAGAGTGGAATTTTCTGCTTGGCTTTCACTTTGTTCATGAAATTGTCTGCTCTGGAGTGTAAACAACTAGAGAACAAAAGATTCTATCTTTAGTTTGTTCTATATAGTATCCATACAATTCCATATGCAAATGAGAGCTAGCTCGGATCATTTTACTGATGGCAGTAGTCAGAAGAGAAAGAAACAAAATGTCCTCAGTAATCAGTCCCCTTCAGAATTTATTATCAGAAGTAGATGATAACTGAATACTATGTTGCATTTTGGACTTTGACTCCTTTTGTGGGGTCATTGATACCTTAATTAGACAGGCTCCAGTTAGGCTGTTTCTGAGGCCAGGAGCATCCTTGGCTCTCCGAACAAAGTGCTCTCCTTTGGCAGCCAGGGTTCCAGCTTCAGTGGTCAGGAAGGCCTGTGCAGTGCTGACCTCTGAAGGGTAGCCATCGCTGCTGGCTAAGAAGATTTGGGTTGTTCCAGGAACTAAGGTGTGTGTGGTCAGAGCAGGAGAGCTGTGACGTAGCTCACGTGCCAATTGCCTCGGGTTCCAGGCTGTTGTGTGTATGGTTTGATACTCTGAGTCTGAAATGAAAAAATTTTGCCTTGAAAGCCCCAGGATTGGAGGGAAAAAAGCCACAGAGTGGACAAGCACCTCTAAGTTCAGAAGAGTGGTTACCCTGAGAGAAAGGGGTGGCATTGGGAGGCTACATGGGAGGCTGAGTGAGGGGTGCCGTGTTGGTCTTATTTTCTTTCTTGGCCGGGGTGGTAGATAGCTGGCTATCTGCTTTACGATTGCTCTTCACACTGTACAGTTACCTTTCTTTTACCATCATGCACAGAAGAAAACAAAAAACATGAATGGTATTAAAAGACCCTCTGCTGCCATCTAAGATACAACTGTTAGTTTCTGCTCATCCAGAGGAAAATGGAAAGAAGGAAACCAGAGACTTTAAAGAAGAAATAAATAGTTCAGTTGCATCCCAGCAGCAGCTGCAACACCTCGTCTTGGCTGTTTTTGCCATATCCCTTTCGCTTCTGGAAACATGGTCTTTGGTGTGGCTGCCTCTGATTGTGTCAGTCAGAGTGTTAAATGACATGAAGGTGGGTGGATCATTGACACCAGAGGAGCTGGAGGAAGCAGTGCTCTTCTGCTTATGGGATAAGAAGACTACATTCCTGGAGGAGGACAAGGAGATTGTGGTTGGTGACATGGGTCAGATTGTCAGCAAACCATACACCACTTTTGTCAAGATGCTGCCAGGCAAAGACTGCCACTATGCCTTCTATGCTGCAACCTGTAAAACCAAGGAGAACAAGGAGGACTTGGTGTTTATCTTCGATGCCCCTGAGTATATACTCCTTAAGAACAAAATGATCTGTGCTAGTTCTAGGGATGGCATCAAGAGGGAGCTGATGGGGGGATCAAGCAAACTGTTATAAGGAGGACCGCTACACCTGAGGGTAGAGCCATCATCTCCGTGGAGCGCAAGCCCTTGTGAGCCCCCTCCAGCCCCACCAGGGGTTACAGGTTGCCCCCTTCCTGCCAGACCAGAGAGGCTGGGGGGATTCCAGCAGGGAAAGGGCAGTAATTCCCCTCAGTTGCCAATTCCCATTTCCTGGACTGTTCTGGTCCACCATCCTGATGGTTCTGGCCTTCCAAACCACTTTTGATCTTCTGATTCCTCTTGGTTAAAACAGATGAAATCCCCCCAGGGTGCTCCAGTTTGGGAAGGGCTTATATATTTGTTTAATGATACCTGTACTCCCCACCTGTTCCTCTCCCTTTCTAGGCTCCCAGTTTCTAACTGCAGTAGTGACTCTGCTTGTCTGTTTATTCTGTGTATAAGTGGAATGTTGTGAGCTGACTTCTCCCCCTGCTGACTGGTTCTTCTCCCCTTTTCCTCTGGTTATTACGGCCACTTGTTTCGAGGTGAGGACAGTGAAGAACCTTAAATTTAAAAAAAAAAAAGAGAGGAAGAAACTAGACTACAGGATAAATAGTCTGTATGAACCAGCTGCATCTATCCCAAGACCAGAAGAACTAGATGGTGCATGGCCAACCATTCTTATCAGGGTCCTGATAGATGGACTCTGATAGAGTAGGAGAAAAATGTGGAACAGAACCTCAGATTCGAAAAAACACAAAAAAGAACCAGACCTATTGGACTGCTTGGGACTGGAGGACTCTCTTAAGACTACTGCCATGAAATACTCTTCAAACCTTGAACCTAAACTAACCCCCTAAGTCCACTTTATAGCTAAATAACAAATTGGCTAGGAGGGTTAAAAAGGGGGAATATAACCTAGAAATACTGTATTCCTTTAAAAAATCACCTGTGTGAAATCAAATGGTCAGCAATTCCTTTAAAACAAAGATGAGAACATAATGGAGTAGGGAAACTAGATTAATGGAAGGGGAACAATCAGAATGGAAATAATGAGACTGTTCATAAACTGTGAAGAATGTAGCCAAAGTCACTGCACAACTTGTGTAGAAATAGTTGAATGTGAACCTAAACTGCTGTGTAGTCTTTCACCGAAAACACAATAAAATGTTATAAATGTTATTTTTTAAAAAAAAGTCCTCTTCTATCCAGAGCTTCTTGGGGTTATTTAGAGAGCCAGGTTTTCTGTATAGGCAGATTTTTGCATCTTTTAGAGTCCAAAACATTTTTGTTTTTAATTTTGGATGCACATTCTTCATATTTCCTATAAATACTCTTCATATTTCCTACTTTAATAAGCAGGATATTGTTTAAGATTTCTCCTTTTTTTTTTTTTTCATGACTTAAGGTCATAATTAGGAATAGCAGTTACTTTATGATGTTTGTATAACCCATGGTGTGCAGTTAGCAATTTATCTTTCAAAACTAATGGTAAGTTTGTGTGCATATATATTACATATCCATTTATAATATGCTTAACCAATGTATTTTTAATTCTTTCATTTCTGCTTAGTTGCTTAGTGAGATTCTACTTTTTATAACATTGGAGATTCTCTTTGAGTCACATGAACTAAAGTTAAAGCTCCTCTCCCCTTTCTAAAATTCTATCGTCTGCTAAATTCTGATTATATTGAGGGATGAAATAATAACTAAACTGAACTAGGCTTTAAATGTTTGCGCTTTAGCTTCTGCCTTTAGTGTCCTGGGTCCTTTTCAACTTACTTCCTGGCTCTTGCCTCTCTTCTGGTGGTAGCCAGCAAGGTTATGGATGTACATGTCAGTAAAAGCTCTATGAGGCAAAGCAGACCCAATTCTTGAAGAGTTATCTGACCTGGGATTACGAGGTATGTCTTCTGTAACCTTCTGGAAGGATAAATGGACAGCTTAACTCCCTCTGCAAGTCAGCAAATATTAAGGCTCTCTAGCCAGGAGGCATGTCTGAAGGTGACTTTCCCGACCTTTCCGGCCCAGGCGGATGAGCTGATGAGCCTCTCTTACAGCAGCTCTGAGCTACACTCACAGCCTGTCCTGGGGCTTGGAGACAGAGGTAGACAGAATGCATGCAAACATGGTTGTCATCAAACCTAGATGCAGGAACTTGCTTTAAGAAGTTACAGTTGAAAAGTGATTGGATTGGAGACTACAGTTATTTAGTTTTGTAATGCAGTGTTGAAAAGATTTTTATTCCATGCCGAACTCATTGTTGACTTCTCTTAAAGGAAGTTTGTGCTAGTGTATCAAAACGTCAGGTTTCACTGAAAACACCAAAGTCACCAAAGTGACTGAAATGAGTTTTACCTCCAGCTCTTGATCAACCTCAAGAAGCCAAGTACATTCACGGTGAAGTGCTTCAAACTTGTGTGTCTTGCTAAAATCTTTACATCATTACTTGGCATACTAACTAAATACCTGTGCATAGAATTGCAAGCCGGCTCTTGTCCTGGTTCCTTGAAAGCAGCACTTCTGCAGGCCAGAGTCCTGAGAGCAGTGAACGAAGTCATTCTCTCTCTCTTTGCCATCTTAGTAACACACAGTTCCACTACCCATTAGTCATGCGCTCCATTTGCAGTGTCTTAATTTCTGCAACTACAAACAGAACACCTCGTAACATGCAGATCCCAAACTTAGCATAGTTGCTCAGTCATGAAAAAAATGTATGACATGATGCTAGTCTCTTCTGATGGGCCAGGCCCGTTCTGCTATAGTTTGTCATCTCTTGACAAAGCAGGTAGGAGACCTTCTTACATCTCTAGGAGTCCTGGAATATTTGGGATATTGAAAAGCTTATTCCTCTATATCTAAGCTTTTGCTTTGTCAGAATGGGACAGAAATTATAGACTTAAATATTTCCCTTCTCTTTGGCTCTTGAAAGATGTGTGTCTCAAGTTTTATTTATAATGAAAAGAAACCAAAGCAGCAGTGTGAGAGGTCACCCATCTTGGCTGATACAAGGAGCAACTGGCAATTGAGGCTGCATTCAGAGCCAAGCATGCTTGAGTCTGAACTGTTACCTATGAGAACGTGTTCCTCATGCTTGCAGAGTTGGTCTAACATGTAAAACTTTTTTGCTTAAAAATAAGCGTGCCTTGTCTCAGGCAGATGAATCAGTGAAGCATACGTTAGAAGTCACTGGAGTTCCAGTTTTCACTTATTGCCTTTGTATAGATTCTGTGGTCCTAATGTGTTTGCTTTTGTTTTTCCCTCCAGGCTGCTAGTTAGTGCCTCACAGGATGGCAAACTTATCATCTGGGATAGCTACACCACCAACAAGGTAAGAGGCTGCACAATCCCTTCTCTGGGACCCCAGGCCTGGTCGATTCTCTGACTCTGGATTAATGCCCATTATAACAGCGCATGGTCGGGAGGGGGATTGCAACGAGCTCTGTCTTTTAGTAGGAAAGTTATGCAGGTGAGGTAGGTAGGTGCTGGATCATGCAGCTAGCAGGTATCACTGTCTCTTCTGATGGACGAGGCATAATTCAGCTGTAGTTTGTCATCTCTTGACAAAGCGGGGAGTGGTAAGTACCTCCTTACGTTCCTGGGACACTTGGATTCCGGTTTTAGTTCAGTCTGGGAAATTTCATGTTTTATTTATATATTGTAGAAAAAGAGCTTTTCGTTTAGTCATTTATTTCACAAAGGACAATCTGAGAGGCCTTATAATTTGAAGTATAAATTGTTAGATTCTTGAAATTTAATCCAAAATTGTATCATATTAAATGAAAAGTACTGTCATTGGTTCAAACATATACATAAAGGATCTAACTCAGTTGTATTTTACTGGAGAATCCTAAATGTCCATACAAAGTTGCAGTACTTACAGGGGAGGTTTGCAGCAGGATTGATGATGATAATGCCCAGTTTAGTGGCTTCATTAAGAATACTTTTTAAATGAATTTACTGCCATCTTGACTGGTTGCTTCCTGTTAGTGTGCAGTTTGATCAGGAGGCAGTGCTGCCCTTGCTTAGGTACCTACCTGACCTTAAGATGTAACTTTAATTGGCATTTCTGTCTGCAGTGCTGGATTTTCATCATCAAAATAATGTTGACCCTTATTTTCCTCTCTTACCTCCTATGGAGAGAAAGCTAAAGACTAGAGATGGCATTCTAGAATTGGTAGTTAATGACATGAGTGATGGTGTTTGCCTCCTTGTGCTCCTGTCCCTTAGGTCCACGCCATTCCTCTGCGCTCCTCTTGGGTCATGACTTGTGCATATGCCCCTTCTGGGAACTATGTGGCTTGTGGTGGCCTTGATAACATCTGCTCCATTTACAATCTGAAAACTCGTGAAGGGAATGTACGCGTGAGCCGTGAGCTGGCTGGACACACAGGTACACATCCTTGTTAATAACCTTGACGTCATATGTGCTGTCGATGTCGGGTGCATTCTGTTGGACATGTACCACTTCCCAATAGTTATCTAATGGGATTGGTTCAAATAAAAGGAATGGTTGGCCCACTTGGAGGGGGTTCTATGTAGGAGATCCTGGATAGAGTGGGAGAACAATGTAGAACAAAACTCAAAATCATTTTTAAAAACGCGGGGGGGCGCAGGGACCAGGTTTGCTGGTCTGATAGAGCTTGGTAGAACTCCTGAGACTATGGCCCCTAGCTGCCTTTCATGTCTGGAATTGAACCCACTCCTGTGGCTTCCAGCCAGAGAAGACAGGCATATGAGCTGAACATTTCCATTAGGGAGATACACTCCTTGGAGAGATCAGTCATGGGAGAAGGGCAGTGTCTGCACAGGGAGACAGCTCAGGGGGCAGGAGTGCATGGAGGGAAGGACCCAAAGGAAGAGGTAACTATGGGGAGGGGATGGGAGGGGAGCTGTTGCATTGTGGGAAATTGTAGTCAATGTCATGAGACAAAGTGTATGTGAACTGTATGGAAAGTGAATTTGCTCTGTAAACTTTCGCCCAAATCACAATTAATAAATAAAAAGGAATGGTTAGCAATAATGGCCACAAACATCCTGAAAATTAGAGGCAATTCAGAAACATCTCTGCCAGGGGAAGCCTCTAGATGTGAGTGATGCAGTGGCTCTAACTTCCTTGTGTGAGAACCTGGCATTTGGGTGACTCCCGTAGGAGCTGGCAGCAGCCACCTTCCTTTTCACATTAACACAAAAAAAATTGCCATCTGCTGTCTTCTCTTCAGCCCATTTCCATCTTTAGCACCTTTCCATGAAGATTTCCTTGTCGAAATACATAACACCTGCCCATGCACATCCACCCTGACTTCATACCAACTACATGCTTGCTGTCAAGGGGGCAGAATAGAGTCCTTTGGGCTGCTTGAGTTCTATTGACCATGACCAGCTTTACATGGTGGGTGATATATCATTTTGCCAGGATTTAGCTTACCTGTGACACGTGTTATTTATAAGAAAAGATAAAGTTTTTCTGAAAAAGAAGATCTTGTCCTAATATTTTACTTCTATAGCTATATTCTCAGTTCTCAAAAATTCGCTCTTACTATTTTTTTGTCAAGACCTCACTAGGTTCACCTACTTCATATGCAAAAAAGAAACTATCATGATTAACAAAATAAACAGGACTACTTTGACATGAGTGAAGTGGTTGGTTAAATAAGTTAATTTTGGCCACGTAAGAGTTTATCTTCTGTCATTGCGAAGATGTGATCATACGTGCTGTCCACATGTTACTGTTTCCTGCTCTGCTCTGCTCTCCTTCCTTCTACTTTGGGTTCGCTTTTCTTCCTGATTTTTTACTTTCTTAAGGTAAAACCTTAGGTCACGGGTTTTAGACCTTTCTTATTTTCAAATATAAGCCTTACAGCCACAGACTCCCTCTGCAAGGATTTAACTATATCCTACAAACTTTGCTATATTGTATTTTAATTATCATTTCATGTGAAATGTTTTTAATTTCTCATAATTCCTGTTGATTCATGGGCTATCTAGAAGTATGTGGTTTAATTGGCAAATATTGGATGCTTTCTTAGATAACTTATTGTTCCTGATTTCTTATTAAATGCCATTGTGTTCAGAGGGCGTATTCTGTTATCATCTCACTTCTTTTGAGTTTGTTAAGACTGATTTTTAGGGGGCAGATGGTCTGTCCTGAGCATCATGAATGCTGGAAAATAGTGTGAATCTGCAGTTGTTGGGGTGGAGGAGGGCCTGTTCTCTCTACAAACGTTAAATCAAAGTTTTCAATACTATGGACATCTTTTGTATCTATATTTCTATAAGTTGCTGAGAAGAGGGATGTTAAAATCTCTCTGTGATCATGGATTTATTCATTTCTCCCTTTAATTCTCAGTTTTTGCTTTGTATATTTTGAGCTCTGTGAGTAAGTGAACACACATTGATGATGATTGTGTTTCCCTGATGAATTGGCCTTCTTTCTATTATGAAAGGTCCCTCTTATCTGGTAATCCTCTTTCTCTCAGAGTTTACTTAATCTGGTACTAGTGTAGTCCCCCAACCTTCTCACGTTGTCTGCATGGTAAGTTTTTTTCATCCATTTACTTTCAACCTAATTGTGTCTTTGTATTTAAAGTGAGGTTGTTACAGGCAGCATATAGGAGGTGAATCTTGCTTTTTATCTGTTGTAAGAGTTTCCCACTTTTAAATAGTGTATTAGTTCATTTCTGTTTCATGTAAAATTGATACCGTCGAGTTAGGTCTGCCACTTGCTTTCCATTTGTCCTTTGTGTTTTTGACCTTCAGTTACTCCTTTCTTGTCTTCTTTTGGATTCCTTGAATGTTCCTTAGAATTCTGTGGTAACCATGGTTCAGCGCCCGGCTGCTAACCCATAAGTCGGCAGTTCAGCCACACCCAGCAAACACCTGGCAGTCTGCTTCCATAAAGAGTACAGCCTGGAAAACCCTGTGAGGCCATTCTACACTGCCACATGGGGTGGCTGTGAGTCAAAACCAACTGGGTGGCACCTCACAACATTGATTTTTCAGAAAAGCCTTTTTGCATTTTTTAGGGATTACAATGTACATTGTAATTTTTCATAACCATTTAAACTTCATACGTTGTACCAACTTATGTAAGAACTTTGTATCATAAAAAGCTCCTTTTCTACTCCCCCACTCTGTGTGTGGCTCTCGTGTGTATTTATTACACCTGTATGTGTGATAACCCCCCATAATTCATAGCCCTTTATGTTTGCTCAGATACTTACCATTTCTAGTGTTTTTCATTTCTGACCCCTTCAGCCTGGAGAACATTTTAGCATTTCCCCTAGTTAGTGCAAGTCTACTATCAGTGAATTCTCTTAGTTTTCACTTATCTGAAAATGATTTTTTGCCTTCATTATTGAAGGATATTTTTGCTGGATATAGAATTGTTTGTTAGATTTTTCTCTGCTTTTTAACAGTCTGACTATGATGTGCCTAGGTGTGATTTTCTTTGTATTTATTGTACTTGGGCTTCTTGACTCTATAAATTTATCACTTTCCCCAGATTTGGGAAAAAAAAAAATTTGTTTCATGATTTCTTCCTCTTTTGGTACGCCAATTAGACGTGTTGATATTGTTTCATTGGTCCCTATGACTCAATTTTTTTCTTCAATCTTGTACTTCAGATTTGATTATTTCTAGTGATCATTTGACTTTTGTCATCTCTAATGTACTGTCAAGGCTACTAACTGTATTTTTAATGTCAGACATGGTATTTTTCAGTTCTAGAATTTCCATTTGATTTTTTTACTTTTCATTTGTGTCCTGGAGCACAATTGTAATAAGCCAAACCCACATCAATGCTGTCAAGTCAATTCCAACTCAGTGATCCTGTGGGACAGGTAGAGCTGCCCCATAGGGTTTGCAAGGCTGTAAATATTTATAGACTGACGCATCTTTCTGCCATCGAGAGGCTGGTGGGTTCAAACCATTGACCTTTCTGTTAGTAGCTGAATGCTTAACCACTGCACAACCAGAGCTCCTTATTGTAATAGCAACATTTGAAATTCGTGTCTGCTAATTCCAGTTTCTAGACCTCTTGGGGTTAATCCTGGTAGATTATCTTTTCTCTTAATGTATCTAGTCATTTCAAATTGTGTCCAGGACATTGATAGTGTTATGCTGTACAGGCTCTGAATTATATTTTGTTCTCAAATGTTGATGTTTGTTGAGTTTTCATAGGCAATTAAATGCTACCTCTCCATGTGGCCAGCAGCGGCAGTCTCTGCTCAATCCTCTAGCCTTGGCTGGGCTGTTTGTACCTGCCTGCCATCTGCCTGTTTAGTTTTGGTGTCGGCCAGATAGTTGGGCTGTTAGAAGAATTAGGCTCCCCTTCTGTCATCTATTCACTGGATTTTCTTTCTCACTTTCCAGTTCCTGTGGTTGCCTAGAACTTCGGCTTTCACAATAACAAGGCTGCAGGGCTCCTGTCTGAAGCCCTCACCATAGTTTATTGAAACCAAGGCCATACAGAAAGACCCTCACTCAGTGCCTTTTTCTCTTCCATGTGTAGACGCCCCTCAGTTTTTGCCTGCTTTTGAGGTTTTCAGTGCTGTCAGGTGTTACAATTTTGTCCAGAGCTTGTCATTGTCTCCTGTGAGAAGGTTGCTCCTGTCACTAGGAGCTGCTGCTCCACTCCAGAAGCTGGGCCAGTGTATGAGCCTTGGCCAGTGCTGCACACTTCAGGAGCCACCTCCAGAACGGTGCTGATTAATTGACAGCTCTTAAAACAATACTGTCTTAATGTTTAGCTTCCTTTTCTATTCAGTCAGATTCAGTGTCTCTCCTTTGCTTTTTTAATTAAAGACCATCCTGTTAGATTTGTTAACACTTCAGAGTATTTGTATGTTGAAACCAAAAAGTTGTACTGGGGAGAAAGCTTCAGAAATTTCCTTTATATTTCATGGAATTTTACTTTTAGTGCATTGCTTTTTTTAAAAAAAGACATATGGCTTCTTGAAGAGTTTTGTGGCCTTCTTCAGACATGATGCATACTTTTCAACTTTAAATCTATAAAGGTTAAGATCTCATAAGCTTAAAACATTGTCTAACTTTAGCCCGAGGGGAATGTGTGAAAGGTTCTGGTTGGGACTGATGTGATGATTTGCTGCTTTTGTCTCGTTTAGGCCTTTTAAGGACCCAGTTGATTTAGTTAAGTGTTAATCATTTGTAGCATCTTCTTCCTGATTCGATTCAAGTTAATATTTTGGAAACTGAATAATAATTTTGACTAAAGAACCATAATTCATGGCTGGGGAGAACAGATTCATTGTGTACTACGAATAGAGCACAATCATTTATAATAAAAAAGTAAATACTACTAAGCATTTGCCCTCTAAATGTGGGACTCATTGTTAAGCATGGTTGAGTTGTCTTGTAGAATCTTAGAAACGC